TCCCCAGAATTAGAAAAGACACGATATCGAAATTACATAACTTTTTTTCACATGATATTTTTGTCTTTTTCTCTATATTGTAGATATTCAGCTGTGCGTCGTCAGAGCCCTATTGCGCCCGATCAGCCAGAGCCGCAAATATTGGATCATACGACTCAACAGGCAAAATTGTTTCCGCAAATTGCAAATGGTATCTTTTTCCGTATTGCAGCCGATGTAGTTTGGCATATGTATCAGAATGTAATGAAGGAATTGGAAGCCGGAAATCGCCGCAGCCTGCCCGAGTTGCATGCCTTATCTTGCTGCTTGAAGGCAGTCTGTTCAGCCGATGCCGAGAGAGGCGTTGAAATTTTACGCAAATCTTGCGGTGGCCATGGCTATTTAAGCTCATCAAACTTGCCACAAATATATGGTCTCGTCACTGCCGCTTGCACATATGAGGGTGAAAACACAGTGCTACTGCTACAAACTGCGCGTTTTCTCGTCAAACAATACGCGGAAGGACTGAAGCGTAAAGTTTTACCACATAGCGTCACTTATCTGCGTAACGCAGCACGTCCAAAGTGGGACAAGGTTGTCGAGCTAAAAACACTGGTGCGTCTACTGGAATTAGCGGCTACGGAGCGTATTCGACAAACCTTCGAGTACTTACGAAAGCAGCGGAAAATAGTAAAGTCTGAGCAAGTGGCTGCCAATAAGGCTGGCATACGCTTAACGCAGGCGGCAACGCTACATGGACGCGCCTTTCTAGCGCGCATTGCATTTGAAGAGGTCGAGAAGTTTTGCATGGAATTGAAGCCCTCTTTGGCAGCTGTGCTAAAGCAATTGGTGGAGTTGTTTGTTTTGGAGTTTTGCTTGACGAGTTTAAGTGATATTTTATTGGCATTTCAACTTAATGCGCGGCAAGTAGATGAAATGCGGACACGTTATGAACGTTTGCTAGCGGACATTCGGCCTAATGCTGTTGTGGTCGTGGATGGTTTTGATTTTAATGATCGCGTTTTGGGCTCCACGCTGGGTTGTTACGATGGACGTGTGTATGAACGTTTGATGGAGGAGGCGCGTAAGAGCACCTTGAACCAGGAGGTGGTCAATAAAACATTTGAAACGCATCTAAAACCGCTGATGCAGGGAAAGCTGTGAAAATTTAATCCTTATAAACAACAGTTAAATGGTTTACAGACAAGTGTTATTTGAAAATGGATTTAATGGGTGGCGACCGTATTCAAAATATTATTTTTTATTGTTCTTGTTGTATTTCATCATCTTAACTATATAAATTGTTATTTGGTACATTTTATTTGTTTTATTGAATTGCAGAAGAAGAACACCCAATGGAATTCAGATGCATCTGAGAAAATGTGCATAAATATTTCGCCTAGAGATTAAACTTAAGCTTTCTGTTTCCAAAAATGATGATCGGTTTCGGATTAGGTGAGCGACAATCCATTGTAGGACTTACGTTGTATCGTAATACTGCATGGGGCTTACGTTTATCTTCGTTCCCTGATCGTACTCAGCAAAAGGTCGATGAGCTCCTCAAATATATTACTCTAATGTCATCCAGATCATCAAATAGGTATGCAACAGTTCAGAACTTTTACTTTCCGTCTTGCTAGTACGGGGCAATGGCAGAGAAGGTGTTGGCTGGTTTCCCCGCTATCCTTCTCCGGGTAACTTCTGCAATATGCCCAGTTTAGCTGCATGTAATCCAATAAGACAATGCCTGATAATGGTGAAGTCTTATCTACTTAGTTGAAAGATTAATTTAACTACTTCGGGTAAACACCACCAACTTTTCTGTCGCGTTTTGATCCATCTGTGTAATGTTTTCAAACCAGCAGTAAATGTACATGTATGTTTCCTAAGGTACCAATTGGGAATAAGGGAATAAGAAAAGAGTAGAAATCACCATATTAAGTAAATGACATAGACAAGGATGGATGGATAAAAGAAAAAAAAGTATGACCTCTACGACACTGTTAAACCTGTTACTCAGTGAGCAACCCGTGTGACCCTTTAGGCCGAAGGCTTCATACCTTTCATGAACATCAGAAAATTTTACTTCATCCGATAAATGCATTTTAACGAAGTTATTTGGCAGGTAGACAAAATGTTTACCTTCACTGAACACAGATAGAGGAGTTATATAAAAAACTCATATCTGAAAAATCAGTGGTATAGGGGATATAGCTTATAGAGCTTAATGATTTTATTAGTAAATTTTGTATGATTATTTAGAAAATAGCTCACAAAATTGTTCGGTTTTAGCTGTCCAAATGAAGGAGGTTTTGTAAACCCCTATCAGACCCGATATTTGTCATTTTCACTGTAAGCTTTCTATGGAAAATCAGTTGTATGGGAGATATATTTCATATAGGTCCGATTTTCCCGGTTCCGACAAATGATTAATACATTACAAAAATACACCCGCTTACAAAATTTCCGTCGGATATCTCGAAAACGGAGGGACAAGATTGCGTTCAAACCGACAGACTGACGGACATGGCTAAATCGACTCATCTCAACGTTCAGATCATTTTGGTATACATCTTGATGTGTCTATGTTTCGGACGGCAGTATATCGACGGAATGGAAGATCGCAGCAAAATTTTTTAAGAACTCCATATTTCAGAACTCGGTTGAAGAACGCCTAGGTAGAACGTCTTTTTTAGACATCGTCCATGTTTTTGCGCCATATAAAAGGACAAATCTGTCATCATGCCCAGATTTGTAGAACGTGATTTTCGTTCGTAGATAGAGAGCTCTGCTTTTCAATTGCCTATCGAGCCCAAAGTAGCACCTGTTGGTCAGAGTTATTCACATTATTGGTGGTGTTTATGGATCCTAAGTAAACAAAGTCACCTTCACTACTTCAAAGCTCTGACTGCCAACAGTGACGTGTGTCGCATAACGCGAAGGCTTTTTACAGTCCATCTTGTCTGGCATCGTACAGGCAGCTTCTCTTCGTGCTATCAAAAGCAGCTTTAAAATCGACAAAAAGTTGGAGTGTGTCGATTTGCACATCGAGTGTCTTTTGCAGGGTTTGACGTGCTGTCAAAATCTGTTCAATGGTGGCCTTACCGGGTATGAAGCCGCACTGATAAGGTCTAATCAGTTCTTTCGTGAAGGGTTTCAGTCTTTCACATATTATCGTCGACAGGACCTTGTACGCAATATTAAGAAAACATATTCCGCGGTAACAGGCGCGATGTTGGCTCGTCGGATAGAAAGCACACCAAGTGTGAAACGTATCTTTACCACAACATGACTATTTGGTTCTTCGTTCTTTGGTCAGGGGACACCCAAATGGCGTTATGGATGTTTCGATGCCGCCGTATGGTACTACTAGCAACCATGTTCCGTGCAGCGGCAAAGTCGATCAGCCTCTCTACGTTGTTGGAGGTGTCGTCACGAAGGCTGAATTTTACGACTGTTGGAACAAAAATGCCTTCCTTGACCACAGTCGCGGGTCTCCGCCCAACCACAAATTCTACACCAAATTTGTGCGCCGTCTCATGGAAGCTGTAGCAGATGTCACGGGCTGCATGCCCGTACATCGCATTTCCTGGACTGCAGTAAAGTCAGTCTTAGATATTTCGAGGACATCCAGTAAAAGGATAGACGCACCTTCCGTATAGAGGCTCCGGACATTCCAAGTTCATATTCCTAAATCATAGTCCTCATTTCATGAGCGAGGATCGTCAAGTTTTGGGAGGCAGTAATCCAAAGCCCTTTTGGTCTTTTCATTGCAAGGCGTTTTTACGTGGCGGGCCAGGCACAACCATTACTAGGATGAGTGGCTTTTTAGCGGATACACGCTTTCTGCAAGACAGACACACCCGCATTTAGTGGTGAACAGGCGGTTACCGCATCTCGCACATGGCTTGCTCACGTTTTCCAAAGTGCGCGAACGAGGACGCAAGTGGCGGGATTGAGTATAGCATAGCAACTGTAACTGCATACCCAGAAGACCACATTGCCCTCCTGAAGAGTTTTCAGGGTTCTTTAATGTTCTTGTGCGTATGTATGTATTCCGATACTTGAAGTGGTGTATAAAACAAACTTTAAACTATGTATAACTTTTCTGTTTTAAATAACCTTCATAGCAAGTGTTAAAAATCGATTAAAACATAATTTTTTTTGTTGCACAAACTGGCATACATACAAACATTTATAGCCTTTTTGCCTGTTAAACTGTACTTTATTTACAAACTTGTAAACAAAAAAAAAAAATCGTTACGTAATTCGTTTGAGCGAACAATTCTTTTTGCGCTTTTATGCAAATAACCGTAATAATCAAATTTTTAAAATTTCGCCTGCTAATTGCAGCGTGTAAAAAGCAACTTTCAGTGAGTGTACATTTCGTTTCCCTGGTCATTAAAAAGCGCACCCGTGCGCCAACCCGTCGCGGCCTTTCTTTATTTCCGCCCCGTTCAGCTGGACCAAATTGTTTCTTTCCAACACCTAGTCGTTAATCAAAACAGTCAGTGCCGTCGGCGGCGCGCGTACCCACTTCTTCGCTCTACCAAATGCGTTGTTCGAGTATTTGCGTAATTAATAAAGACTCGTTAGTGCGTTGGCATATTTTACATTTTTATTTTTGGTTGTTAAATGTAAAATTCGTAAATTTGTTATATTTCGCTCTGTGTTTTTTTCTCTTTTGCTTAATTATTATGCAAAAAGTGATGATGGTGGCGCTGCAGCTGCCGAGTAAATAATAGAAATTCACGCATGTTCGCTCAACCCTGGTCAACTCGTCATTTCCGCTTACCAAATGCGCACACAAAAGGCAAACATTTTGCTGGTATGGATGTACGTATGCAAAATAATAAACGCAAAATAAACCAGTTATGCCAGCGCTCGCCTCGATCCTTCTCTTGCCCTCAGCAGTATTGCTTTGTGGATGGCGAAAGGACGTTTCCATTAAACTTGAAGAGAGAAAATTGTATTACGGTTCTTGCTAATTAGCGTATTTTCGCATTTTTAATATTAACGTTCAGCATAAAAACGCACTAATTGCTCATGAGCCTTGGCAACTAATCTAGGGGAGTGAGAGAGAGAGAGAGAGAGAGAAAGAAAGTGTTTAGATATGTACTTGCATATTGTAGTTGCTTTTTCCTCCACCACACCCAATTGCCTGAGTTGCTGCCGCGCATTTAGTTGCGTTAATATTTGTGGCTTTAAAAAATAAAATTTTAAGTTTGTTGGTTAACGTATTGTTTCTTACGTTTTTAATTTTCACCTAATGCCCTTCATTAGTGAGAAAATGCTTTTAGTACATACGTATATACATAAGTATAAACTTTCCTTGCGCTTTTAGCTCCTTCAACAATACCTAAATTAAAAATATAACTAGCCCTGCTGTTGGAACTCATTGCGTATTTTTCTTTACTTCAACGTTTTAATCTTAGCGAAATAAAGGTAACTGCAATTTCTTAAGCTTATTAGCCGAAGCATCCTGGTGCTTATTAAGAAAGAAGGGCATGAAACAACAAACGAAGAAAGTTGTTTTACGTAACTATTAACCTGAAATTAGCATTCAAAGAGAGAAAATAATGGATTGCAGAAGTTGGTAATTGGGATGAAACATATTCATTAAAATACTTTTAAAAGTAACCGGAATAAGTACCTATGTAATTGAAAGGATAAACATTTCAGTATTCATTGATAAATATTTAATTACGCCGCGTTTCCATTTGCAATCAGTCATCTTATGCGAACTGTCAATTTGATAAGTGGCAGTTTTCATCGCATAAGATTTCATTGCAAAAAGCTAGTGAAAAAACATTTTATTTTTAGATTACTTTATTCAAAAACATGGTTTTTCACATTCTTTTAAGCATATTTGTTACATAAAACACATTTTCACCCAAGTTTATCGCAAAAACCAACCGACAAACACGCTGTTGACAGTTCATTGCATGCAATAATTCTTATGCGACGAGCTCTCTTATTTATTGCATGAGTTATGCGATTAGCGGTCTCCATTTGCAATATATCTTATGAGATGATTCGCATGACATCGGCGTTCGCATGTCGAGACAGGGGGTAAACCTTAAAAAGTATATAATCTCCAAGGTAAACAAGGGGTATTCTCAAGTGTTATTGTCTCATCTTTCAAACACTTTTCAGAGGTCGAT